GATTTATAGTTTGCGTTTTTGCTACATGCATGTAACTCTTATGCAAACCCACTGTTAAGTCATAAAGGGATCTTTAAAATTGGTAGAACCAGGCCAACAAACACACAGCTGTAAGGCTGAAAATCCTGACGTGCTCTTTATGAACTGTGCATGAAATAAGCAAAAATATTGCATCCAAACACCAAACCAAACCAAAATATTGAGCTCCACTTTGACCTTCTAAATAACTTCTTGAAATCCCAAACTAATACAGCCGACCTGCAAAACTGTTTACTTGCCTAAAGCAGTTGCCAAAAACTCCCTCCATTGAGACCCTTCTCAAAAATAAGCGCTTCCCAAGATTCACTAAAACTGAGAAAAACTCATCAAATCCTTCAGTCCACAGCAAGTCCTTGTCACATGGATAGGACACAGAAAGGCTCTGCCCTCTGTCCTCCAGATGTTAGAAATCCACTGACTGACCCAGAAAGCCTGTGCTTCACTCCCCAAATTTGGAGGATTAGCAAACATTGTAGAAGCTGCAAGGCACATTCAATAATATATAGCCCAAATTAAAGACTGGACAGTCATCCGGTACATGATTCTCAGTACCTCCTGCACTAATCTGCTCCCAAACCCTCCTAAAGTCACAAGGAAAAGAAATAAATAAATAATACATTTTAAACTCAAGCTAGTTTTTCTGACAGGTGTCCAGTCTGACAGAGCTCTCCATCCGGTCTTTATTCATCATGAGCTCCTTGGAGGAATCTGTAATAAATATTATAAATAGTAAATCTCTTTTAGTAGAAACCTTTTTCGAGGTACCTTTTTTTTACCAAAGATTTGTACTTCCCACCTCTGATGCCAGAATCTCACAATAATCTGGAGAAGGTGTATTTTTAATAGCTCTCAGAGAATGTTAAGGCATAATGCTTCAATGAAGGTGATTTGGCCCATATAGGGATTTTTAATTTTACCAGCTTTAGCTGTGATTCCAAAATATCCAATTTTGGCAAAAAGTTAAAACTCTTACTGTTGAAGACAAGTAGCACTGTGGGAAGCCGTTTTGCATCTCTCCGACTCTGTGTGGGCACATGAACAGTTTGGATGTCTAGCTATACAAATAGCATTTGTATTAAAAATGCTTGTTGGCACGAGCAGCTTCCTGTCATGTGATTTGGTAAACAAGTGGGTGAATTTCTTGGAACAGTGAAAATGTCTTGCAATTAAGAGAAGGAAAGGAATTAGCTGAAGTAGGGAGCTGCATCAGCATGTGTAGGTTGAAGAGGAACAGGTAAAGGCTTATTCCATGCTGAAAAGAAAAAAAAAGAATTTGGCACCAGAAGAAGGCTCTGAAACATTGTGTCTCTTTTTTCTTTTCTTCAAGGAACTAATCCACTGAGCCATTTGGGAACTGAAAATTTGGGGTCAGCCCCTCCTCCTGCCATGTGCTCTGTTCACATGAGCAGCCAGGTGTGTGCATTAAGGGCAGGCTGACAGGCCTGTCACAGAGAAAGCTCTGAATTGATGCGCAAAGTATTATGCCCTAAAATTTCATGTTCTTATTTGCTAATGACAGCTGAGACAGTTGAGATGAGTTTTTCCATTTTTAACCTGGAATCTCACTAGCTTCGTCTCTTCATGCACTCCTAGCATTGCCCAGCTGGTATCGGTCGCAGGCACCCCTGCCCCTCCAGCATGTGTAGTGGAGCGGGTTTGGGCACAGTGACGCCATTGCCCTCCCTGTGCGTAGCAGAGACCTCAGCCGCCTGGGCTGGGGGAGGTCTCCATTAGGTCATGTGGCATGTTCCCTGTTGTGTTACACTGGAGACCCAGGTTCACACCCCAGGTGTTGTGGGATGAACTAGCAGGGAACCCAACTATGAAGTTGCTAAATTGAACTGATTTTGGCATATTCAACTGCTCAGGAGCTGGAGATTGCAAGTTCCACATCAAACATATGATTGTTTGGTTTTAAGGGCAAACCACCAACATGTTTAAGAACTGCATGCAATTAAAGATGGTTAGTTCAATTAAAGGCTCTGTCACATATCCCAGCTGGCTCGGAGCTCCCCAGGCTCAGTGTGAGCTATGCCTCTGCACAGGCTGTGCTCAGCAGGTCAGGGCAAGAGGAAGGACCCATCAGCAGTTTACTCATCCAGCTGGTTCTTGAACAATACCAGCGTATCCCCTTCAACCACATGGCTGGGCAGCTTGTTCCCCAGGCAGACAATGTACGTCTGTGAAGTTTCCTCCTGTACCCTCTGGTTAGCAGCCTGAAAGAGGGATTTTCTTCCTCTCATTTTATCTAAAAACTTTTTCTGCATGATCTGGCTTCAATTAACTGGAACAGAATGTCTTTCATTCTCTTAATACTTAATTGCAGGTTTCTGCACTATCCTGCAATTTAAGTTGTATTGTCTGTAGCAAATTAGACTTCCCAGGAGCAGCTGCTATCTTAGGACAATGTATTTTCAGTCTGTCGCTGCTGCCGAGTGGACCAGCCTGCAGAGAGAGCTGAAACCCACCTCACCTCTGTATCTCAAGGAGTTAGCAGGCGTGTGATTACCAAGCCTGGTACTGCTCCACACAGCTGAGTGTCTGCTGTTCTTCCTGCTCTTTCTTTCTCAGAAGACTCATCTTGCCAAATGAAAGGCCGTGATTAGATACTTCAGCAGGGAGGATTCTGAACTGGGGAGAGCATTGTTCTTGATCTTACTGCCTTTCTGTACATTGTTAGAAAAACATCTGCAAAATCTCTGATGCCATATCCTCACACTGTGGTGTGCATACATCAGGGTGTGCACTACCTGCTCCCTTTTGTTTGAATTTATAAATTAATGTTCCATTTCCAAAAAGGAAGTTAACGTGGATGTAAAACCCAGTTTACAGTCCCTGTATTTCCAGCCAGGCAGAGCCGACAGGATCCCACCTCTTCCGCCTGCCACGGGCCACACCCTCCTCGATTGCGTGCCCATAGTGTGATCATAACAGCACCGGAACAGGTGTAGGTTTGTTCCACTGCTGGAAGGAAAGGAAAGAGAGAGCTGTGGAACTTCTCCAGGTGTGGCCGCTAGATGCCACTAGTGTGTCAGTGGGGAGGTTTTTATTCTGGCTGTAAGTCCAGATGCACGGACTCTCAGGGAGGGAGGTGCGCATAGTTACCAGCGTGTCTGTAACCAGCACTGAATACAGGAACTCGAAATACCAATGGAAAAAAAATATATAATAATAATTTGCGTTGATGAATAAAAGTAAGAAATAACATGCGGTATCTTCTCTCTCAGTTTTACAGTGAACTAGATTTTGTTCTTGCAAGAGCAGTAAAGTCACGCTCACTGGCTGCGGCATGGATGTCGTTGCTCAATGTCGCTGACGTCATCTCCACAGTCCCACCACTTCCTCCTCCGGTTCTCTGGGAAGAGCCGTTCAGTTCAATTCAAAAGCCTTGACGCGGCCTCAGGGGGCTGCAGGAGCTGCCCTTGGCGCTCGTCGGACGAGACGCAGTGTGCCCCTTGACCCTGCACTCCTCGCCCGTGCTCGCAGGAGTCTCACCGCCCCCCACGCCCACGGGCTGGCCACCTGCAGCGCGGACAGCTCGACGGCCCCGGACCTTCGCTCGCTCCTGGTGGGCGGGCGCCCAGAGGCTTGTGTCGGTGTTGCCCAGGCCTGCTGGTCCGGGGTCAGCAGGGTGGGGGTCCGAGCGAGTGGAACAGACACAGACAGATGCGGTGGACAGCAGGAGGGGCGCTGGAGGGGGATTGTCTTCTGTCCTCAAGCCTCACAGGCTCGCAGTTGCTGTAGGATTCTTGCAGTTTTTCCTTTGGAAGTGCTGCCACCCAGAGTGAGGAGAGGGCTGTGATCTGGAAAGTGGGGTGATGTCTTCACGCTGGAGCAGAATGAGACTACGACTGTAATTTCTCGAGCACTGGTGCGCTGGTGCACAGTCACGTTGCCCCTGCATGAGCCTCCTCGTCTCCAGCAAGGGGAAGAGCCCAGTCCTGCCTCTGACGCTGCAGCCCCTCCCTCCCCTCCAGTGCAAATTGAGTGCTGTCCCAGTCGATCTCATCTCGCCAGGGTTTATGAGACTCACACACTCACACTCACTTCTGCTGACGTGCGGCTTCATTCCTCACCTGAGGGGGACTGAACTAAGGTCAGGCCATCCTGTCATTGCTGCGGTTTCTAAGGACAGACAGCACGCGGGACACGGACCTGTGTCAAAGAGGGCCCAGTGTGGACACCCCTCTATTAGCAAATAGAGAAAAGGCACCTAATGCACTCAGTGACTCACAGTAGGACACTTCCCTTGTGTGGGGCAGTAAATCCAGCCCAAGAACCCCATCAGCCCACTGGGGGCCCCTCAACCCCCACCCTGTCTTTCCCCGTGGGTGCTGTGCCACTCCGAGTTGCACACAGGAGCCATGTCAGCCCAGCCAGTCTCCTTGCTCTTTCGGGCTATAATTGTAAACTGTATTTGGTATTCAGTAGCAAAAGTGACTATAGAAAGGGTTTTAGGGCATGTGGCTTTCTGTTGAAAGATGCAGTAAGGTGAAGATAAAGTAATTTCATACCCACTTAATGAAAGCTGTGTTATTATGAACTCTCACCCTATTCTACTTCCCTCTTACAGAATCGTTATGTTTGGCCTCCTTGCCAGAAACAGTCGATAAGTGACACAGTTCAGAAAGGAGTTGCGTGGGTGGATGGTATGTTCAAGAGGAATTGTAAACTCCTGAAACACAGCCTGGCCAGTTTACTCACAGACAGAAGCAGGAGAATTTACAGCAGATACAGTAGGTGATGCAATCACTTCAGGAAAATGCTCTGGACAAGATCCAGACCTACTGATTGTTCAGCATGTTACACTTGTATCGGAAGCTTTTACGTTTTTAGTGTACTATTATTTGGACATGAAAAACAACATGTTTTTTAAGTACTGCCCCTTCTCCACTGAAGGTGTGGCATGAAAATCTTTTAAAAATGAGCAATGATCTTGAGTTGTTATCAGACATAACAACAGCAGCATGGCTCTGGGCATCACTTTGCTTGGTACTGTACATGCAGATCAAAAGTGCACTTCAGCTTTATATTTCATCTTTTAATATTTGTTTCCCCTTCAGCGTTTTAATTGTGCGCCTCTTGTTTGTCTACTCTTTTTTTAGCTTTGATTGCAATCATCACACCTCAGAGGAGGTCTGTGCTCTGTGCCGATGCACCAGGTAAGAATTTTTTTTCATCTATTGAAATTGAAAATACTTTATTTATTCCCAAGATGGAAATGTAAGACATTGCTTTGGGGGTTTGGGAATTTAAATTAAATTTAAATAGAAGCGGCTTCTGTACCATGTCCATTAACTTTAAAATTCAAGAGCATTGACGAATCTGGACCAGAATCCCTTGGAAGAGAGTTAACTGAAGAATGTAAATGAGCTCACTCCTTTTGGAAGGGAACTATAAGTTAATCACATCCAGTTAGATTTTTTATTCCAACACTGTTTCATTTGGAATTGAAGCTGAAGAGATTTTTCATGCTGTGTTAGCTATTTAGCCATGGAGCTCTGCTCATATCATCACATCTTCATCAGAAATAGGCTGATGTCAGTAAAGACCTGTACAGGTACGTAGAGCAGTATGTCTATGCCTTAGGCTCCTCTGTTTCCTGATTGCAGGGCAAATGCTGTTGTTATTAGTGATTTGCTTTTATATTAACTGCTTGTCACTTCAAATAAGTGTTTAAAATTTTAATTTTTATGACTTAATTGTAGAAGCAATGGGAAAAAAAGAGGTACAGTAATATTCCTGTTGAAAAGGGTTTCCTAAAATGGTTTTATCTTCAAGTAATTTATTCATTTGATTTGGAATGTAAGAAATGTTTGCTTTGGTGAATGTAGCCACCAAACCTCCTTAGTGGCTTGTAGCATTATTTCTGTTCCAAGCATGGTAAGGGCATTGCAGTAGAGACCAGGCAGTCAGAGCTCGGAACCGAGATTATTGGGCGGGATGTGTATGTGTGACTGAGAGAGAATGTGGATTTTGTAAGCAGGGTTAAACTCAGGTCCTGGCTGGGCTTCTGGTCTTCTGGGATTCATTTTCTGGCTCAGTATTTTAAATTCTATGTTTTAAACCAGGACCTTTCCTCTTCTCAGTTCAAGCCTTTGGGCAATTAATAATCTGGTCAATTATTCATCAAGCTTCATGTTGATTCCACATAAAACATGAAGTATTCCATTTGCAAATCTTCTTTATCATCATTTTTACAACTCAGGAAGACTGGGAGTATCGCTGAGCACACCAGTCGTCCTGGATTCTCCCTGTTCTCCCCCTCCCTCTGGTCAGCGCTATAGGAGCAGAAAGGCCAGAACCTCCAGATTCAGAGGCAGTTTCTTCCCACAAGCTGTCCGATGACTGAACCCCAACCCCACCACTGACTAAACACACCTACATTACTACACCTACAGTATAGTACTACTCACACTGATGGGTTTTTCTCTTCTCGCACTGCTTTTCTGACTTGTTTTTTTCAATTTAACTTGTTGTTGTTGTTGCTGCTGTTCTGTGTTTGTGTTTTGATGATTCCTTAACGTCTTTGTATCAGAGCACACATGCAATTAAGCATTTCACAGCACTTGTGCACATGACAAATAAACTGAATTTAACTTCAAAACGTTGAAGGTTTTCAGTTTCTCTGTATCCTCCAGATTTCCACAGTAGATTTCCAGAAGAGCATCCTGCCCAGAACGAATATTATGTCTTACAAGTAATGTACGGGAAACCATTGAGAAGGGATTAGTATTGCTTTGGCACATCCCAGTGTTTTGCACACTGAGAGAAAAGTCACATGTCAGCAGACAGACGACTGCTGGAAAGATTAGAACACACGAACATGAGACACAGACGAGATGAGGCCATTTGGTAAGCAGTTGATGGTAGCTAATTGATCTGAGGGTTTCATCCAGCTGTTTCTTCTCAGGTCTTCTCACGCTTCTGTCCTCTGGCTAGTACAGTATGTCACCGTCGCTCCTGAAGGAGCCCACAGTGTTGCCTTTGTCGGTGTCCGAGGATCTGGAGTCCTTCAAGCCGCTCCCTCGCAGTCTTCTCTGTTTTTATAGCCCGTCAGGGCAGGACATTCCTCTGAGCACAGGAGTGGATCTGGTTGATCCCAGAGCGGGACTATGGCTTTTGCAGCATGGTGACCAGAATTGAACACAATAGTGCATTATACAGTACATCTTTAACACATCATCCCCACTGCATACCCCAACATGCTGTCGGTGTTTTTTTACTGCTTCCCGATCTTGCCTATAAGACATGTTGAGCTCAGTCTTTTTCTTCAGTAACATCTTGATGTCTTGGTTTCGGGCTGCTGTGGACAAGTGAGATCTGTTCTCTCAAACCTGATGACTTCTCCAGTCAGTTGTCAAAGCTTTCTCCTACAGCGCACACATTGTCAATGAAATGTCGCAAAATAATCCTGTCTCCTCTGAAGTGTTTCTGATGTCAGCTCCATTCCACAGGAGAGCACATCAGGTTCGGTAACTCTGCTACGATGAAATGTTTCTGTAGTTACACTGTTTGAGAACAGTGCAAGATGCTTCTTGCTGCTGTAGTCTTTGCAGTTGGTTTTGACGTGAATATCTGTGACTGTTGCTGTTTGACATGAACAGCGATTCACCTTCCTGTGCTTGAGAAAAACAGCACCTTGCTCCGCTGTGGGAAAACGTCCAGTGAACTTGAAGTAATGGACATATCGAATATTTCCATCCAGACTTCTTATGAGTAAATAAGGCAGGTAAATTAGGCTGTCCTGGAGCGGCAGAGCTGGACTGTATTTCCATCCAGCCAGAGGATGTGTAACGTTAAAGACAAACTCTTACAGCTGTAATGCCATACAGAGTTGAAGCTTCAGTTTTTTATTCGTAACACCACTCAGACTAATATGTGATTAGCAGGAAAACCTATCCCTGTTTTTCGTTCTTCAGAAACGCATATACTTAAAAATCATCCGCACTGACAGAGCATGTGCCCCATGCAAGTATGCGTGTGCGCTTTCCTGTAACTTCAGCCCAACAGCAGTGGAGGCTCCAGGCATCTGTTCACGCGTGATTCCCGCCACAGACACACACGCGCTCTCCGAGTTGCGGGCGGTAACCTCGGTCTCGGTTCGAGTCCGCCGAACTTGATAACATTAAAACACTTTGCGTTACGACTTCATGAGGCTGCTCATCTTCGACAGGTCCGTCCTGAAGCCTGTCGGTGGTTTGTCTTCCCGCAGGCGAGCTGTCGGACCGAAGGCCCGGCGGACCCGGGAGGCAGCCGGTGTCTGAGCTGGCGGACTGCGGGGACACGGTCTACAACACGTGAGTCCCGCCGCTTCCCACCGAAGGATCGACAAGTCCCAGTGTCTTTGGCGGTTATTCGATGTGAAAACTGTACATAGTTGTCCTTAATTGAAAACAAAAATATATTTCTTGAATATAACATCAAAGCTGAGCGTATTTACTGTACTACTTGCCCCGTTGATTAATAACAACTCTATAAGACTGGATTAAACAAGAAGTGCTTTGATCCTAAATTAATTCGAAGCCACGTATTAAATGCCTTTTATTGTTGATTACTGCAATTCATCACAGTACGGAGGGAGACAGACGGATTCAGCCGGGATGGAGCCCCAGGAGTTAAAAGCATGCCCACTCGTCTCGCTTTGCTCTGCTCAGGCTGTGTGCGTGAGTGAGTGTATCAGTGTGTCAGTGTGTCCATGTATCTGAGTCTGTGTCAGTGTGTGAGTGTGTGTCAGTGTGTGACTGAGTGTGGGAGTGTGTGTC